AAATAATAATAATAATAATAATAATAATAATAATAATAATAATAATGATGATGATGATTAATGTTAGATCAAAGAATGCCAGAGTTGGAAGAGACTTAGGAGGACATCAAGTACAACCCCTTGCACACTGCAGGATTCACTACACCATCCCCAACAGATGACAATCCCACTTCCGTTTGAAAAGCTCCTCCCTGTGATCACCTCTTCTACTGATTGACAGCTTTTACTGCCAAGACGTTCCTCCTAATGTGTATCTACATCCTTGAAGCTTCATGCCTTTAGTACTAGTCTGACCCTCTGGAGCAAGCATAGGTACCCCAAACCTAAGCAGGTTCTCCCTTCCTCCCAACACAGACACTTTTATCTCATATACACTGACAACTTCCTCTATTTGTTTTCTCTTTCTCTTTCTCTTTCTCTTTCTCTTTTTCTTTTCTTTTCTTTTCTTTTCTTTTCTTTTCTTTTCTTTTCTTTTCTTTCAGACAGACAGAAATACAGGATGTCTCTCTCTTTCTCTTTCTCTTTCTCTTTCTCTTTCTCTTTCTCTTTCTCTATCCCTCCCCCCCCCCCAACTAACTAACTAACTAATGGTCATGACAGTATAAGCTATGGAGTCCTTGGTGCTCTCTGAGCTTGGTTATTTGCTAGCAGACGTTTCATTACCTGACTAGGTAACATCATCAAGCTATTGTATGGAGCCCTTAAGTTGCAGGCTTCCCACCTAACTAAGATCCGCAACTCTACGGGATGGCTGACCACTTCAGCTGGCCTCCCTGTATGGGTTATGAGAAGGTCAGGGGATCTGATCTGATTGTAGCTTTTCTAGCCTATCTTTCTTTCCTTTCCTACTGAAGCTAATTCCTGACTTTGCTATCAAATCACTTTTGCTTCTGCTCCGTCTCCTCATTTTACTTAACATTTTATCTGATCAGGTGCCTGAAGAAACTCACAAAGCTCAGCTATTCCCTCAGAGAACTTCAACCTGCCAAGAAATTGGATAGAGTCATAAAGCTAAAACGTGGCCTGACAAACTATCCATCACAGCCTATTTTTTCCCCTCTTTTTCATCTTCTGACACTTAGAGTAAGAAGCAACACAACGCCGGCAGCATTCAATCCCATATGCTTTTCTTTCTGTGTTAATGGACCTAGGATTGACTGCATTTCATTTAAAAGGAGTGGCAAGGCCAGGCTTTCTGAAGGACAAGCAAACAGTCGAAACCCATCAACCTCAAATTTCATTTTTCACATCTTGCCAAGATGGAAGGTGGGCAGTAAATGAAACCTCCCGCAGAAATAAATAAAACAGGTTCTCCCTGTTCTTTCAGCATGTCCATGGGGAAACGCTGAAGCTACCGTGAATGTATTTGCAATCTTGAAAAGAAAGATTTCCTTTACAACACATGGAAAGCTGGAAAAACCAGATCAGATCCCCTGACCTTCTCATAACCCATATAGGGAGGCCAGCTGAAGTAGTAAGCCATCCTGTAGAGCTGAGGATCTTAGTCGGGCCTACCAGATTGCCCCTTCTTACCGATGATAAGGATAGTCAATCATGAACTTTTTTTTTCATCCTAAGATTCCCTCTATGACCACTGCCCCAAATCCCTGGCATGGTTGCCCATCATTTTGATATGAACCAAGCACAAAACCTCTACAGTGCAAGCCCTAAAACAGTTGTAAAATACTATATAACAAATGTTCAACTCAAAGGTCATCTTGATCAAAGCAAAATCAGGAACATCCAGCCTGCCTCACATACATGAGACAATCTCCCCACCCCCTTTCACCATTATCCTACCTAGTGTAGCCCCCACCCTTGCTAAAATGCAGTTCCTGGCCACCCAAAATTCACCTGCTCCTGCCAATCATTGCTAATAGATCTCTCCCTCTTTGTGAATAGGCCTGATTCTGTTTGAGAGTCATGTCATGTAAGCCAAGACTTCTGAATACATAAAACCCTGGAACATAAAACATCTCTCGTGCAAACCTCACATAGTCCTTCGCCATATTGCAGAAAAAAACAGTGATCTAGTATTCACGCTGTCCATGGAATTGGGTTTTGCCATATTTTTGCTACATTCAGACTGGATTTGCAAAGACAGGCAAGGATTGTGAGAAAATAAGGCAATCCATTTTTCACACAAGGGAATCAGGAAGTCCCCCTGCCAAATACGTTAGCTTAGTGGAAGGTTGCATTTCCCAGCAGAAATCACTGTAACAATGATTGCAAAATTCAGCTATGTTTTCTGCAAGTATGTGGTTGCTTGGACATCATAAATCTACAGCCATAAATGCATCAGTCAAACATCTAATGAGAACATTTTATCTATAGCTGTATCTGTGGTTTAGTATAGGAATTAAAATCTAGAGGCTCAGTTCTAGGAAGAGAGGTATAACCATGTTGAGGCTGGCTCTGTTTCTTATTTTCCAGCCTTAAACTTTACTTGATCTTGTTTTTTGGCTTTCTAAAGAATAATACGTCACCTGAAAACTTGCACACATTTTCTGTAATGAGTGTCTTTTTTTTTGATGCGGTTTTGTATAACATGCACATCATTGTAGCATGGTGTTTACTATAACAGAAGCTAAGGTACTCATATGCTGGTTCTATGGGGATGTGTATATTCTTTTTGGGTGTACACTTTTCTTAAGGGAGCCATTTAAAAAAAAAAATTAAATTAGCAAGCAGCTTTGAAAATAATGGGACAAAGGTGAATACTGATGGATAGCATCTTGGTTTGAATGCTAGTTCAGGAACTGTGAATTAGATGGGTTCCTGCTATAAAATGTATGTTGAACTATTTCTCTCTCACAAAAGATAATAAAATATTTATTATCCCTAATGTAGCTCAGGCTTTTACAGGGCGAGCGGGTTTTTTTCACGCGAAGAAAGCATTACTGCTGAATGTTTACTTGTCTTCGAGGATCAGTCGATGGGGAAGAAGACACGGATAACTAGGATCAGGAGAAGAGGGGGTTGATGACTGGTAGTGCCCAACTTGCTGGACTGGAAAGCAAGTTAGTGACTGGCACTGCTATTTTCTGCTGCGAGATGGATATTTTCCCATTTCATAAATGCTCCCTACCTCTCTGTGTCCATTACAACACATTTTTCCTAGCTCGTGTTACAAGCAAACGTTTTTCTGTGTTTTTTTTTTTTGCAAAAATTCCTCTGCTCTTTGGAAAACTTTAGTTACAGACCCCAAGTCAACCCTGAAAGCATATCAGACATGACAGACTGGATAACAAGCTTTCTTGTGTTACATAAACATTTACGTCATAGAAATCATGATGAATGGAAAATTTGTGGGCATTTTTGTATATTAGTTGGTATCAAGGTTTTTCTCCCATGACTAACTGGAAACATGGTTAAGCCGGCCAAAAATATTGTGGATGAAAAAGGAAATAAGATGTATAACATTCCCATCGAGTTAAATTTCAAGAATTTTAAATTTATTTATTTGCTAGATTTATAAGGCTGTCCAACTCAAACAATATGACTCTGAGGGGTATAGACCAGAAAAACAAATAATAAACCAGAAAAACAAACCAAATAACCCCAAACACATTATATAATTATAAAATACAAAATATAAAATGGCAACCACACACAGTAATAAAAACTACCAAAATGTACCAATTGCTCGAATGCCCTGCCCCAGATTTTCTGAACATTATAAAAATCTGTGTAGACATTCAATCCAGGGTCAGTTAGTCAACCGTTGTTCCCACTGAGAACAAATCATGACTTAAACTTCCCATAGATTTCAGTTGGTACAAAACATTTCTAATCTATTCCAGATGTAATCCAACATGTTTGTATGGGATACAGATTTTATTAGATCAAGGTCAATGACAGTCATAACAAAATCAAGTCCCAATGAAGGCATTAGGATTTGCTTTAGTGACCCCACCAAAAACAGAAGCACTTAACAAAAAATCAAGGAAGAGAAAATGAAAATGAATGTTCATTTACTTAGTAATTGCAGATTTTTGTTCTGTCTTAAAATTATGCTCATATTACTTGGTCTTCTATAATAATTTCTCTCTTGCCATTTTTTTCATTCTCATGCAAACATCTTCAAGTCCAGAGAGATCATGAAACTCATAAATTATTTCCTAGCTGTGATTACCACCGAGATCAGATCCTCAAGTACGAAGTTTCTCAAGGACTCAGAATGAGACCCAAATTTTCAGAGCCCTAATTAGCACCGCTCTCTAAAGAGTCAAGAAAGTAAAGAGTTGGTTACCTTTCAGAATCTCCGCCAACTGAATCTCCTGTTCTCTGCAGAAAGGAAGAAGAGGAAGAAGAAGAAGAAAAAAAGAAGTGACGTTTAGCATTTGGGGTTTAAGATGACGTACAGGAAAGAAAATGTTTCCTAATGTGATTAACATTGAATTTATAGAAACCACCTGATTAGCACAGTTCAAACAGGACGATAACTAAATGCTTGTACTCACTTTGGATAACGGTGTTAAAAGTGAAAAACCAATTCTGAATTTGCAGTGTAGAATGCATTTATGAGACAATGACTGAATTTATTTTTCCAAAGCAGTAGTTTGGACTGGAAATTCTTTAGAACAACACGGTTCCTTCTTAATTTTTAATCTAGCATAGAGCACAGAAATGCAATAAGCTGAAAGACAAGTTCAGGAAACCTGCATATAGGTTTCCTTAGAGTTAATATTTATTTTAGAGCTGCGAGGTGGACCTTTGCTTAGGATGAGAAATAGCAACTAATCGGTCAACTTGTACGGGGGCAAAAAGATCAACACTGGGCCAAATTCCTTGCCAAGATACTGCAAATATAATTGAAAATAGAAATTTAATATTAAGACTGGATTTTTTTCTCTTTTTTGGGCAGGTGGGTGGTGGCGGAACATTGCCTAGATCAGTGCTGTCCAAACTTGGCCACTTTAAGATGAGTGGACTTCAACTCCCAGAATTCCCCAGCCAGCCATGTTGAAGTCCACTCTTCTTAAAGTGGGCAAGTTTGGGCAACATTGGCCTAAATCTTCTTGGGTTCTAATGATGCCACAGAATGTTCACAACATTCCAATTACAGAGGAAAACGAATTTATTAAAGGGAGACATATATTCCATTGGCTTAAGAAACTCACCCAGTTATTATAATAGGACCTGGATGTGCATTAGCATTTGAATATCCTTGGACGCTTCCATACAGATTTATATATGGAAGCGCTTTCGTGCATCAATGTCCTTTCTGGGACCTGGGCGCATGCTTCCTATCGTGTTAATGAGAGAAAGGTGTTTTGGTGTGGATGAAATCAGGATCAGGAGAATTTGCCAGAGAAAGCATTTTGGGAGGTAGTGAAGTTTCCTGTCACTATTTAGAATGTGGAACTTCTAAAAGGGGACATTTGCTTATTCTTCGCAAGTGAAGCGTGCAGGAAAATGGCGTAGCTTTGAAGCCAATCAAACAGCTTGAAGGCCCAGCCGATATGCTCGAAAATTGTCATGCCATTTGTCTATTTGCAAACATTGCTAAAAAGTGTGAATGATTTGGGATCTGCAGTCTGGAACTCTGGCACGTCAGTCATTAGCTATGAAAACAGCGAGTGAAGAGAGACTCGGATGCTTTCATATTGTAAACTTCACATTTGTAATCTCTGTTGCAATTATTTTTTCCCCCTCTAATTTGGGGCATATGGCTGCGAAGTACATTCAGAGACGTGTGGGGCCCTATCCTGGAAAGATTATTATAATTATTTTTGCAATTATTCAAGGGAAATTTTGATTGTCTTTCCCAGTGGTGTCTATGCAGGGGTCAAAGAACATCAGATGAGTGGCCACAACTGTGTGATTGACATACATCACGCCAGTAAAGTGCATTTACTGGTGTGAGGCATGTAAAAAAGAGGCAGGGCTTTTACTGCATTATCACCATCGCTCTGTCTTGCACGCGCACAAAGACACATTCTTTACGCCCTGATCTTTCCTCCTGGGGGTAGATTACAAAAGCCACTGTGGCAGAATTATCCAAAGATTTCTTTGCCCTTATATTGTTAGCTAGTTCGGTGAAACGGTGAAAAGCAGAATGCGGCAAACATTTTTTTAAAAAAAAGATGTATTAATTTTATTTAATTATGTTATTCAGAACAGTCCGTTTCCAAACAAATACGCATAAAATAAAAATGAACAACTCACCACTCAAAAAAGGGAAAGGAAAAAACACAACACAGAAACAAAAACATAGAAAAAAACCCCAAAGCCTGTAATTACAAATACTGTATATTCCAAGTTCACCTGATTTCATAAATCTTTGGAAAAGGAAACAAAGCTTTCAATATTCACCAAGCCTGTCCAAGGATATTTGCCAAAGCGAGAGAGAAGGTGACATTAGGATGGTGAACAAGTTTAACAGAAAACGCAGAACTGTAAATTGAGTTTAATAGCAACAAACAGAACTGAGCGCAACCTTTTTTTCAGGATGTGCTAGAGATCCATATGGTAGTATCGAAAATCAAACAAGTAACAGACTGCTGGTTGAAACCACCTGAGCAAACACCCTAACAAACAGATGTTGTTCTAGCAAATAGCATTCTGGAACAAAAGGTTTTTGAGTCCTCATGGCGACGTTAATGTGCTTTCCCACCATACTTCAGCTGGGAAGAAAATGTACTGCTATAAATTGTATTGCCCGTCCAGCTGACCTTTGTTGCAACTCAGCAATGAGGACTGACAGTATTGCTGCCCTCACACAATTTAATATGGGGTAGTTTCAGAACACAAGGCCCAAGGATCTGGAAGACCTGGCTCTGTCACTTGGCCTGGGGTGGGGAGGGAATATCTCAAGCAGATGGCTAGCCCCATAGTGGCTGGCTGTCCCCGGCCCGATGTTCCATCTTCTTGGATTTTCC